TCATTTTTGTAAACTTCAAAAAAAAAAAAATAATAAAATTTAAACATTAAACTTGATTTTTGGGTTAAAGTGAACTATGAGTGAGTGTTATGAAACTAAAATTTACACTTAAAAGTGAACTTTTATTTATTATTTATTTCAAATGACTTTAAAATCGGGCGCAAGAATAATGCATAATTTAGGTTATGTTACTTATGCTTTTTTACGATATAAATCCACTTTTTTCTTTGTAGTAATTTGTGCTTCGAAGTTGGAACGAATAAAACTTAAATTGACAATTTTTTGTTGTATTTTTGCATTTAAAACAGCATTTACTAAATCCCATTTTCTTCAGTGACAGAGGGTATAAGTAAACAAACGAATATGAAATATGACAATTGACAATATGAATTTATGAAATCTATGAAATGTGCAGTAAAAAATGCAAGATTTCTCCGCTACTCGCGCACGATCGTTTCTCGTATCACATCCAAGTACTTGCACGTCGCCAATAGAGACCCCTTTTTAGCGCTGTTTTGTTGAGTCACTCCGCTGTAGATATGTATATATTCTCCTATTTCTTCATTTTCTTTTCCCTTTTTTCTTGGTCTCGGTGAAAATATATAATATCTATTTTTCTGTCCGCTAATTCTTTGAATACTTCTGCTTATTTGGTTAATAAGTCCTTGTAGATTCCATGTAACCAATATCAGTTTCCTTTTTCGTTGCATTAGTCGTCTTTGTTTTGATCCATCCTTTGTATTCGAGGCTTGTGGTCGAAATTTTTAGCATTTATTTCCTTTGACAAAATCTTGGAAATAAATAAATTAAAAAATACAGATATAATTCTGAATTGTGAACTTGGAGCTGTCTCTTCTTCAACTTATTCAGTTAAAGATTATAAAGTTAAAATGCGTAGTGAATAAATGTTTGTTTGTTTGTTGGAATTAGAGAGCTACAAGGAGAGCGGCAATCATTTCGACAGGAATGGAACGTCTTGCTAATCATGATTATTTCCTACAATTTTTAAAAAATTCTTGAAGTCGTTTTGTATAATGGTATGTCTAGATTGACAGTAAACATATCAAACATTAATAAAACAAAATACGTTTATAAACTTCAACTGTTGCTATTTGTAAATAATATTTTTAAAATTTTTGGTAGTTCATTATGGCTGATCGAATTTTTTCCATCGAAAGTGGATGTCGAAATTAATTCACAGGTCTGCAACGAAAAAATTGTTTAACATTTAATAAGTGATACTTCAACTCATAGTTCAAGTTCATACTGTTTCAACGCTGATTTCGGGAAAAATGATGAAAAATTCCATCGCGTACAGTTGAACAAACAGTGAGCCTTTTATACTAGAGTTCACAGCAGCTCTACTCGGCGTAGGTCTCGTGTTGTTGTTACTACTGCTTTAAAGTGACTGTTTTCTTGTGTTGTGAAGATATTGTGTTGTGTAGATATTGGACAATGGCTACCAGAGGATGTATAAACTCGCCAGATTGCTTCTGTTACATTTGCGGTAACTATACTGTTAAATGAAGAGATGGAAGGATTTAGTAAACAGTGTTTTATGTAAGATGAATTGCAACAATGGTAAATTGTTACATAAGGCCGGCAAGAGTGGAGAAACATAATAAACTCAGCTAAGACTCACTTCACCGAGTGATTACCGGTATAAGCAACCCCCACTAATTGACCAACCGCTTGGAGCGGATGAGTTAGTAAAAGTGGTATGGCACTTTTTTGTCCTGGGTTGAGAAATTGACCCTAAAGGCGGATGAACCTATATGTGTTCAACGGCATAAAGACCGTATGGCACTGTGCATTTTCTTGTATCATTTCTTATATCGTTTCTGATTATAACAAAAAAATGGATAGTGTCATACAAGCGTATAGTTTCTTATATCAGAAACGATACAAGAATTTGTGTCCGCTGCATTTTCTTGTACAAGAAATGCGCCAATTTGTGGGCAAAGCCGCAAAAACGTAAAACTTTTGTCATATTGGCGGCTGGAGGAGAACTTTGATATTGATATACAATTAGACCAAGCAGACATCAGAGAAAAGTGCCCATCAACAATAACCAAGATTAGAACGTCAGTAGCCAAATTGAAAAACAATAAATCACAGGCAATGGATCAAATAGCATCGGAACTACTGAAAGTAGGAGGAGATGTTTTACTAAAAACAATACATAACCGCTCTAAAAATTCGTGATGAGTTTAAAGATTATTTTATATCTCCAAATAAGAGTGTAGAATTTCAAGAGCATGCCATTCAAACACATAATTAAAAAAAACAAATAAATTGTTACAACCAAATTATGTATTATTTCTGTCTTCCATTACAGCCTGTTGAATATCTTCAAAAATTGTGGTTTTCAATTTAGTTTTAATATTGGGACATTTTATTTCTTTCATTTTTGCACTACAGTAGCTATTTTAAAAATAATCAATAGCATATGTCCTCAGTCCCCAGTAGCTTGGGGTCCTCAGGTACTGCAGTTCTATTTTTATAGGTGTCAAAATTTCGACCAATCATGTGCCTAATCACATACAATTTCCGGTAAAAGAACTTGCATAGTGTCATACAGGGCAAAAATGTACGTGCAAGAAACGATACAAGAAAACATAAATAACTTTCTATATCGGTGTCATACGGCCTTAAGGATGTAGAAGACAACGGGAAATCACTACATTAAAGATCATCAGATTTCTCTAGAACAATAACCGTGCAAAATACGGCCATAAAAACCCAGTGAACATGAAAATAGTGCAAGTGTATGCTCCAACTGCAGATAAATCAGAATGAAATAGAACCTTCAGTCACTACTAAACACAATTTGTGATACTGGGGAATAGTTGGATTTAACAATAAACATAAAGAAAACAAAAACCATGGTTATCAGTAAGAAGGGTAAAGTCAAAAAGGATCCAGATAAAAAATGAAGATATTGAACAAGTGGACAAAATGAAGTACTTAGGAAGAAGTCTGGATTACTGAAGATGTAAATATCCGAAATTTGATTAAGAATAGAGCAACCAAGGGTAGCCTTTTTAAAGATAGGAAATTTCTGAGTAACCAAAGACTCAATCTGCAAATCCAATATCGGAGGGTAAAATGTTATAGCCACTCTATTCTTCTCTATGGTGCCGAAGCTTGGACTGTTAATGTTGACTTAATAAGAAAACTGGAATCTTTTGAGAAGTGGCTTTTCAAAAGAATTTTCAATATACCATGGACCGATCATATTACGAAGGAAATGGTGTTGCACAGAATCGGAAAAGACAGAGAACTTTTGACCACCATTAAAAGAAAAAAGACAGTATGTTTGAGGCACATACTTAGAAATGTACGAGTTGTTGTAACTGATTATGAAGAGTAAAATCGAAGGAAAACTGGGACCTGGTAGACGACAAATATCCTCGCTTAAAAACATTCGCGCCTGGACCGGGTTGAACACACAGATGCTTTTAAGGAAAGCAGAAGATATGGACGAATTTGAAATAGTTATAGCCAACCTTCATTAGTGGAGCCGGCACCAGAAGAAGACTCACTTAGAGCTGTAGAATCAAGAAAGAAGAAGAACTGTAGACTTATCGGTTTTATTATGCTATTTGTTAAGAATTTAGAAGATAACTGTGAATATTATTTTATATTATTCAAAAATTTCTACTATAAACATGCTTTGAGTTGAAAAAACGTTTTGCTAGTAGAAAAATAAACTTATTTACAATTTTAGCGTTAATTTAACAGCATAACCTCGTTTCGCTCTTGGCCTTACCTTGTGATAGCAAATAGTTCCTTTTGAAAAGAAACATTGTGACATGCAAAAGGTAATAAAACACGTTTCTTAATAAAAATACACAATTTATTCAGTCTCATTATATTATAGACCTAATACTGGAATACTATAAATAAAAAAATATTTTTACAATAAATTTATATGATGTATATACAATGAGCGATAAAATAATGAAAATATGGAATTATTAGGTGGGTGATGTTTTGGCTTTAAACCTTTTGGCCACGTCTGTCATTATGGGACCCGAGTGACTACACACTCGAATAATTTGCACACAATTTATATAATCAGATTATTTGTCATTACAAAACAGCCAACTAACACAAAACAAGTGTATCGTATTTTCTAACCTATTACAATAAGTTTTAAGACCTAAAATTTAAAAACTGCGTAATTCTTAAAATGTTCTATATTAATATATTTGTAATATAACAAAATAATACTAAGAACATTTGCAATAGCGAGCATTTATAATATATAAAGTTTAGAACATACAAAATGAAAAATTTTGAACTGAAAATACTGAAATAAAGAAAAGTCAGGTACAACAAAAAAGTCTTTAATATGAGCAAATTCAAAATATTTCATTTATCTTATGTTTTTTTATTACGCTTTTTACACACAAATGAATAATGGATGTAAATTCAATAATATAAAATTAGATACCATTATTACGAAAAATTTTAGCGTTTTTAAAATATACTTGAAATATATTTCTTAGAAATAATTATTGGAGGGAATACGTATATAAGCATATGTAGAAATTTACATATATTAACAAAATAGCATTTATATAACTAAGCATTATTCAAGCTAATAATACTACATAAAAGAAACACCCAAATTAAATAAACCATTTCCTAGTTTCGATTATATGTTTACTATTTTTGCATAAATTAAAGAAAGAAAACCATATGAAACAAAAAAATGTGTTAAACATGTTTGTAATAGTTAAATCTTTCGAAGATTTTTATTTGCAACTTACAAAATGTTAAGCTTTTCTCAAGTTCTTGCATCACTTGAGTCCCAGTTCTGCTCGTCTTTGTATTCAGTCTATGAAGAAAGTTCAGAGAACCCAGTTCTCTTCATTCGGAAGACAGGCAAAGGAGGTATGTACAGTATTGTTCGCCACTACTTCTCTTCGCGAGGAACAGTGAACGATGATAGAAAAGACACAATATGCGTACCATTAATATAGAAATGATGCTTATTTAAAGGCAGAAGTTGAAGATCTTGGAGTTAAAATCAATTTGAAGCAATCTGGGGGAACGGCAACGCAGCCAGGCTTTAGATTGATGTCTCCTCCTGCTTTTATATCATACTTCTGAAGAAGTGTTGCTAGAACGATGAAGCTATAGCACTGTACTAGTCTTTGCCCGATACATGTTCTTTTGCCTGTGCTAAATGGGATGAAATGATTTGGTTTGACAACATGTCCTTTGGAAGACAAAAACCGTTCTGGGAGAAACTCATCAGGATTTCGCCAATAGTCACCACTAGCATTTAATTCGTAGTTATTAATGAAAATCATTGTGCCTTTTGGAACGCTGTAACCGAAAAGATCAGTGTCGGTGCTGGCGACGTGTGGTACTATAGGAGAGGATGCTTTGCGTAGAGTTTCCCAAATAACAGCTTCGGTGTAGGGCATAGAAGTTTTGTCTAACAAACTGGGCTCCCTCGTTGTACCAGTTACTTCATCTACTTCTTGTTGAACCTTTTTGGCTACCTCAGGATATTGCACCAACGCTGCTAGAGTCATCATTACCAAATTACCAATCGCGGAATGTCCTCCAATGAAATCTTCCAGTTCAAATATAATATGTTGCCAACTCATATTCGGATCCTCTTCCAAATGTAAGAGCAACGCATCTGTGAAATCTCTAGGAGGAGAGTGGTGATCTAATGACTCTCTGTGATTATCAATAATTCGACTAAGGATAAACTGACGGATTTCCGTGGACCAGTGAGAAATTTTTCTCATATGATTTTTATAGAAAGGAAGAAGCCACGGCAGAAAATCGACAGCATACCCTTGATTAATTTCCCAGAAAATTTCGTCAAAATATCTGACTACAGTTTGAAACTTTTTATCACTATAATCGAAACTAGTAGAACACATATATTGAGTGAACATATTGGCACAAGCAGCCAGTACTAAAGGTTTAATATCAACAGGAGTATTAATAGGCAATTTTTGGACCTCCGACAAGAATGTGGAGATTTCATCTGTTCCTACATTTGCCACCATATCATATTGCAATGATGTGAATCTAGGAGAGCAGTACGTCCTTGCGATGCTTCTGCGGGTTTTCTGCAAATCTGACCAATCGCAGAGTGCCAAAGCTGCAAAAAAACATAAGTTACAATTTTTTTAACAACTAATAAAACATTATGACACAACATTTGAAACACACAAAGCCATAACAATAAGTATGAAAATAGTAAATTTATTTTCACTCTGCAATAAATTAGTATAAATTATAAATTTAATTTATAAATTAAAGATTGTGTATATACTTTAAACATAATTTTCTTTAAAATGGTTTTATATACAATTTAATGTCAAGGCCGGCGCAATGTTTGGCACGAGTCCCGCTTAGCTAGACTAATTGGAACCGAAGAGCGAGAAGAAGAACGAGATGCCCCAAGCCCATTCAGATGTTCCTCTCTTTCTTACTCACTATACACCTGTTTCAAACAAACCAAACCATGCAGTCTACTAACATTCACTCTAGACTATCATACCATACCATCCGCATCAGCAAGCTCGTTTTTCAACCACTTATTAAATCTTCTCGCTGCTTTTTATTCAACAGACGCACGGCCGTCCCTTAGACAATACGCGCCTTATTTTACAAACACAGGACCGTTCCTGAAACGCTGCTAGGCCCAATTCATTCAAGTTCAAATCAAATTGATTTGATGTTACTGGAAATCCCGTGTGCACTGATATAAATTAATAATATAAACAAACTAAATAAAATAAATATAATAATATATTATTGTCACCGAGATACAGCTTTAAATAATAATAATTTGTAAATGATTGATAATGATAATAATATACTACTATTAATATGGTAAACATCGACGGAAATATACTGTACGCGATAATTAGATGGAATTAAAGTGATGTAGTGTTTGTCTTGTACAGACTCAGTTTCATTAGAAGCCCAAGTTCAAGTTCACGGCAATCGAGTATGTAATAAAGCAATTTTATGAATGAAGCAGGTGCACTCGACCTCTTAAAAGCACAAGGATTGCACATATAAATAACTGCGTTGCGGAAAGCGATGAATAATGCTTTCTTCTTTTTTTTTGACTTGACTTTTTACTAGGAATGCTACAATAACGGGATTGCTTGCTTTCACAACCATTAATTCATTTAATCTTAGAATTTAGTTTAAACGATGCGAGAAAAGCAATCTCCGATGCTCCGCTCTATTAAAACAATTGAAGAGCTTCGGGTATCATCAAAGACCATCACCACAAAGATTTTATAGAATTTAATTTGTAAAATAATATTTTTCCTGTGATTCCTAATATATTGCAGTTTTATTTATTTTATTATCTGATAATTTATTTTTATTTACGTAAATATATAAAAACATTTTGTTAAATAATTTGCTGAAAAAAATTTAAAAAGTGTACTTACAGTTATTTCTATCTCCACCAAAGAGCCTGTGGAATCTAATAAAGTCTGGTCTGGCGTCGAAATCTCCTCCTTTTGAAATCAACACTTCTTTAATGAGCTCAAAATTATTAACGACGACACAGGGGGTAGCACCTAGTTGAATACTGAAAATATCTCCATAGATTTTGCTAAGTGCCGTAAACGCTTCAAACGGAGTCCGATGCTGTCCTAATAGATGTAAGCTGCCGATTATAGGCCATGGCTTGGGTCCCGGAGGATAGTTGGGTATGACTTTACGGTTCCTCCTGCCGAACCAGCACACGAAAAGCACAAGGCACAGCACAACGAGCGCGATCATATCCGTTGAGTGAGGCACAACTGGTCACTGTGTGTGAGTTCACGAAGCGCTACCCTCTTTATGACGGACGGCCACTAGTTAAGCTCTTGATAGACCTGGTGCGCTGTAACCAATCGCTGATCCCCTCTCTATGCCCTCGCCCCACCAGGGGGTGCCTGCTGGTACTTTGATTTGCACATTGGCGCGGTTCATGACGCCCCCGCTACCTTTATTTTAAGGTACCACCACTACCGCTACTATAATTCTCTAACACTTTTATGGAATATTTTTTAAAGTATTTTGTTCCCCTCTTAATAAAAATCTATGGAAAAATATATCTAAGTAGCTCTAAAAATAAAATGTTGAATATTTCAGCTAAAATAAAAATATTTATTCATAAAAAATATCTTATTTAAAAAATATATAATTTTATTGGAAAATATATATCTACAATATTATATCTTTGGGACCCATTTGTACTTTATAAAAAAATAGACAAATTCTTATAATTTTAATAAAATATAAAATTTCTTAAAAATTTTGATTTGATATTTTAATTAAATATAAATACAAGATGGAAATGGAACCGAAAAACAAACATTATAGAAAAAGCTACAAACAATACAGCTTCAAAAAACTAGTGGAAGAAAATACATGGACGGAACGAAAAGTGGAAAAAGCACAGAAGGACATGAGTGAATATGATGATAACACAGACAAAAAGAAACTACATTTAAAGGGCAACAAAATGACAAACAAGGAGAAGGTCATTTTAAAAATGGCAACATGGAATGTAAGAGGTACAAAGGGAAAGAAATAGAACTGGAAAAAGAAATAGAAGATACGAATATTTAAGTAGTAGCAATAACAGAAACAAAAAAGAAAACAAAGAGGAACCACGATATTGGAAAATGGAAATTTATTAATATATCTATACTGAAGTATAAGAGAAAAAGACAGAAAAAGTAAAGAAAAATATTAAAGTAAGGAATTGGATAAATTTCAATGAGCGTACACTTAAAGCACATAATATAGAGATGGGCACAAACAAAGTAATTATAAATCTAACCTGATGAAAATGCAACAAAAGGCGAAACTAATGAGATCTGGGACAAACTGCAAGAAATAATAAATTATGGTACAGCGAAAATAGTAATCACAAGAGATATGAGTGCTAGAGTGGGAAAAGAAGTAGAAATAAGGAAACGATGATATAGGATCATGCGGGGAGGAGAAAATCAACAATAATGGAAAACTATTACTTGAATTCTGTTTAGACAATAACATGCTGATCATCAATACACATTTCTAACATAAAAAGATACATAAGATCACAATAGAAGTCATATCAAGAAACTAACAATCAATTATTGACTATACTATGGTGCAAAAACAGAGAAGAGCTGGATAACGGACGTAAGGGTGAGAAGAATATATGAAATAGGCAGTGAGCACTACCTACTGGAAACTACATTTAATAGCAAAGGAATAGAAATAAAAAACAGAAAAAGAATAAGAAATACAAGAAAATTATTAAAATACAAAAACTAAGGGAAGAATCAACAAAACTCAGATATAAGGAGGACGATTAGAAACAAAAATGGACTAAAGAGAAACGGCAGAAATACTAGAAGAAGAATAGGAAAAATTTAGAAATGCTATGATAAACACAACAAAACGAGTACAAGGGACCACAAGAAATAATGAGAAAGAGAAACGGACATCATGGGGAAATGAGGAGGTCAAGATTGAAATAAAAGAAAAGGAGAACTTGTGGAAAGATTATATATAGGACAAAATGCAACAAAAATATGAAAGATACAAAATACAGAGAATAAAAGTTAAGAAACAGTCAAAATGGGGAAAAGAACAGCCGGCAAACGTTCGAGAAAAAAATAGAAGAAAACAGTAAAGAAAATATAAAATTGGTTATAGGTCACTAAAAAACGTTCGAAGCAACAAAGACATAAAGCTAAAACAAATACTGACCAAAAACCAGATATATAGAACAAGCCTTTTTTATTAAAAAGTGTAGGTGATAGACCACATCCCTGTTTGAGGCATTTTTTTGCGGTGATTTTTTTGTTATTTGATTACTTAATTTAATATGCATCTCTGTTTCTTTATACAGTCTTAGTGTTATATTCACCCATTTAAGTCTAACGTCTATTCTTCTCATTGCTTCCCATAGTTGTTTATTGGGCACGCTATCGCATGCTTTCTCCAAGTCGGTAAAGGTCATAAAATCATCAGTTAGTCAATAATAAAAATCAACAGTTTTACTACAGATCCCACAATAACAATGTTGATTTGTCCCTGAAAGAGACATACGAGAACATATTCTGTATATGAGACAAATTATAGAAAAATCTTCTTCGGCTTTATTCCGTTCTGCGTTCGCCATATTCATCCTCCGCAGCACTCCATTCTTCCAGTCACCCCCTTTGAGGTCAACATATTTAGATGTACTTGTTTTAATGTCCATGCTTTCAAGCCATAAATGAAAGTAGTAAATACGTAACACCGATGCATTCTTAGGCGTAGTTCTAACCTTATATCTCGACAACAAAGCAAAGAAACTTTTTAAGTTTAACGAATGATGCACGTGCTATTTCAATACGTGTCTGAATTTCTTTGGTTTAGTCTACATTTGATGTTATCCATGTTCCTAAGTATTTGTAGGTATCCACACTCTCAATTACAGTACCCTCAACAATCAATTGGATGTTTGCATCTGTTGATTTAGTCATGATCATTTAGTTTTTTTCAAATTCATCCTTAGTCCGTATGCATGACAGCATTCATTAAGTCGTTGCATTACGTTCTGTGTACCGTCATTATTACTGTATCGTCTGCAAAACGCAAGTTATGTGAAACTTCTCCATTGATAGCTATACCTTCTATTGAATCTGAGAGCACTTCTTCAAATACCGCTTCGCTGAAGATATTGAAGAGTAGTGGTGACAGCAAGCGAACTCCCCTCTGTATTTTGATATCTCGGGTATTCTGGTTGTCAACTCTTACCTTGGTAGTTTGATTCCAATATAGATTAGATATTATTTTTATATCACGATTGTCAATATTTTTGCTTTTTAATATATCTACAAGCTTTTTATGTCGAACCTTATCAAATACCTTTTCAAAATCTACAAAACATAAGTACATATTCTGATGAATGTCTGAAAAAAGCGTCTCTTGTGCCCATACCAATTCTAAAGACAAATTGTGTGTCACTAATTTCATATTCAAGAGTTTTAACAAGTCTGCTGTGCATTATTTTGAAAAATATTTTAAGTCTGTGACTTATTAAAGCTATTGTTCTGTGATCTGAGCATGATATTGCACTTGACTTTGGGTATTGCCATAAAGGTCGATTGCAGCGATTGTCTGGGGATTGTGGAAGTCTGATATATTAGATTAAAGAGTTCAACCATTACATCACTAACATATTCATCAATGAGTTTTAATAATTCGATAGGACATCATCTGGTCCGGTAGCTTTGCGTTTTTGATGGTATAGATAACTTATTCCAGTAATATTGGTGGTCCAGTATCCTCTGTAGTTTCTAATGATAGTTCTTCTCTTTCATCATTAAATAGCTTTTGGATGTATTGGTCCAGTGACGCAATCTTTCCTTCATATCAGTAATAATATCTCCTTTACCATTTTTAAGGATATTCGTTCTTGTCCTTTTTCTAGAACCTGTCATTTATTTGATTTTTTTTGTGTAAATTAAAGCTATCATACTTTTTATCCAGATCTTCTATTTCCTCGCATCTGTCGGAGAGCCACCTCTCTTTTGCCTCCCACATTTTCTTTCTGTTGTTTTTCTGAATTTCTTTGTAATTATTCAGGTCTTTTGCTTTATGTTTTCTTTGTTTTTCCATAAGTTCGAGAATTTCTACTGTCATCCAAGGTTTTGTTTTTCCCCAAGTGGTTTAAGGGTTTCTTTTCCAACTGACACAAGAGCATGTTGAATTTTTTCATATTTTTGGTCAATAGTTAGAGTTTCTGCTTTATCTTCTTTGACTTTCCTTAAGTTTTCGTTTATTTTAAATTTCGTTTCCGCATATGTGTTGTCTTGTTTGAGCCGCCTTGTATCCATGATTTTCTTGGAGCTACGGTCTTTTCATTCTTTAGTTTCCCTCTTATCGACAAAACAACCGGATTGTGATCGCAGAATATGTCCGCTCCTGGATAAGTTTTGGGATGATATTATAGAATATCTATATCTTCTGTTGACGATAATATGGATGGTTTTCTGCAATAATAGTCTAAGCCACATATACATGGTTCAGAGTAAATGAGCATATTGTGTCTACCTACTATAAGAAATTTACTGGTAGAACATAAGGCTTTATTATCACATTTTTATATTTCAATAATTACAGGCTATCTAAAAAAACGTACAAAAGCAAAATAAGTAAAACCAGTTTATTGCAAAAATAACTTAAAGCGGCTTAAACGGTTTTTGCAAAATTTAAAAATATAAATGGTCATTTGCAATAACCGTCTGTTCCTTCGAAATGGTAAATACACAAAAAAAACTTTGAATTCGAGTTCATTAGTAAAAGTAAGTAACTGCTACTGATTTAAATTCCTACTCCATTTAATCTTGATCAATCTCGAAATCAGGATTTAACCCAATTCCTTCTAAATCATACCTATAATATTCCTATCATATTCCTACAATATTTTGCTGACCAGAATTTTGACTATCAAACAACAGTTCTAATATTTTATATAATGATCAACTGGTTTCGTTATTTGATCAATGCAATTTTTTGTCGGCATTTATGGCACCAACATTCGAGTAATCGCAAAACATATTATGTTACCTTTTTCGGTACACAATCTGCGATAAAAGGAATTTAAAAATTTTCTTTAAATCAATTGCCGAGCTGACAACAACACAGAAAATTCACATTTTATTATTTTGCATTTGGTGCACACAAATTAAAAATGACCCTTACAAAATATTTGCAACAAGCGTCTAACCCACATATTTATAATGAAAACA